AGACTCCAGCTGAGCATAAACCCCAATGCGGGGCTGGATCCCAGGACCCCGAGATCATGACCTGAGCTGAAATCAAGAGTTGGCCACTCAACTGTCTGAGTCACCCAGGTGCCCTGCAAGTGCCTTTTAAAAGAATAATAGATCCTCAAAACTTCATCTCATCTAAGAGTGCACCAATTATCATTAATTAGTTCCATTAAGACCAAAATCTGCTTGTAATTCAATTCTTTCCCAAACATTTGAAAATAAATTGTCTGAAAACCATTACATAAAAGGACCACAAAAAAATATAATACTAATATATTATACACTATATATAATACATTAATATATATATATATAATATATATATAGTGTCCCAGTAAAAGTGATAAAATCAAAGAAACTCAACCCATAGTATTACTATAAAAATACAGGCATTGATTTAAAATAAACTCTAAAAGGTTGATTTTTAGAGTTGCTGATGGCAGCTAAAAACACACCTTTTAAAGCAAATCTCAGAAAATACATAATTTGGGCTGGGTGTGTTTTCCTCACCACTCCCTCCCCACCAACCAAATATTACTGATTATTCAAAAAATGGAAAGATAACCTCCATAAAAGTCCTTAGGATAATGCAAGTATAATGAAGTAATTTAGGTAGCTAAAAAAGTGGACAAAGACATAGTACAGGAAACTAAAATCAATAAGAATGTATTTAAATACAAAAAGAAAAGAAATTAGGGAGACCACTTAATGACATTGGAGGGCCACTGACTGTTTCAGAATTAAAATGAAATACTGAAAGACCGTTGCTTTCTTTAGTCCTGTCTTCAGCTAAATAGCCTATATGAGACTATTTAATTACCTAACCATGTGAGATGTACATAGAAAAGGAAAGCTAAAATTAACAAAACACCATGCCTAACTGTTGAGCTTAGTTTTTAATGTCACTTTACAAGGCGGACTTTCTTACGGGTCCATATTCTTAGAACTTAGGGTATAGGACATGGCTTACAGTTTCTACAGTATCTGTGGGATAAAAAAAGGTGAAAATAAATAAAATTTAAAAGACTGGTAGACCCCTAGAAACAAGATATTAGTAAACTCATGATAGGAATAGTAATCTAACTCTATACAGATCTAAGAGAAGCCTAAATAAAGTGTTAAGGTCAAAGGGAAAATATCTTACCCTTTTATGAGATTTTCTTTCTCTTGTTTTCAAACCCCTTTTTCCTCAGGTCTCTCTTAACCCTAACTTGCTCTTTTTTACCTTGTCTGTATCTCACTCCGGTTTTCTCTACCTCTCAAATCTTCCTGTCCCCTAATTTGTAACAATTGAGGAAATTTATATGAATGTTTTTTACAGTTATATATTCTTTCCTTCAACTATATGCTTCTGGTTCTCAAGAGTTGCAACATGGTATAGTAAAAAGAATGTTGAAGTCAATCAGAAAACCACTGTTGAGGCCCAGGTCAGCCACTACCTATGTTTTGTGATGGTGGGTAAATAACTTTTCAAAAGAAAAAGAACTAAAATATTCTTACTGAAAATTTAGACATGTAGCTTTATATAGAATGAACTATACCCAGTATAGAATTAAGTACTTTTATGTTTTTTCCACATATTAAAGCAAGTGCAAAATTAGTGAATGAGGTTACCCAAGACCTTACTTAGTTGTTCAAATCTGTTTCGTTTTAAAATTGATTTGTTCAAATCAGGATACAAAGGTAACATTTGCATTTACTCTATGTGTTACTTAAGATTCTTTTAACGTGAAAGGGTCCCCCTCCTTTTCTTTGCAATTTGTTAAAATAAGTCATTTATCCTGTAGAATTGCCCATGTTCCTGATTTTGTTGACTGCATGCCCACGTTTCCTTGTGTCATGTATTTCCCATTAATAGATCTAGGGGCTTGATCAAAATTTTTTTTCCCTTTTCTTGTGGTGCTGTATACTTTTCTTCGAGTCATAGTATAAGGCATATCATTAAGATTGGCCAATGAGTTCAGGTCTCGTCATCTTGATCTATCCATACAAGGTTCTTCATCAGCTTTTTAATTAATGGCTTCAGTAGTGATTGATGACCACTGCCTAGCTCTCATTTCATTAGGATTTATGAAATGGTGATATTCTAACACTCCTTCTGCATTTATTAACTGGAATAATTCTACATATTTTATAAATTTTTCCACCCAATTATTTGATTACCCTGGGGCAATAAGGCAAAATGAATGCTTCTTTGTCTCCAAGTTACCAGTTTCCAGAATAATACCCTAATATTCTTCCAAAGGTGACTGAATTGGTTTGTCTTTGTTTGCTATTAACATTTTGAACGCATAATTTACATATTTACAATGTTTTGGTCCATGTTAGTTATTATCCTTATTGATCATCAAATTAACTCCATGTATATAGCCAGCAGTTTAGAACCCCTGCAGCTGGATATTGAGCTTTTGAGAAAAGACAATGGTATTTGAAAGCTTTCCTGCTTTGGTGATACTGAGGTATTACTGTTAATTTTTAGATGTGAAATGGTACTGTGATTTTGTTGGAAGAGAAATATGTACCTCGGAATCAAATAACATCTCTCAGATTTGCTCAAAATAACCTGGGGTCAAATAGATTGGGACATAGATGAAATAAGTTTGGCCACATGTTGCTAAGTTTTGAAGTTAGTATAACCATAGTTAACTATTGTTCATCATATTATGCTCTTGTATACATTTGAAAAATTCCGTAATTTTTTTAAAACTCCCATATCAGCAGTAAAAGTTATCTACTATAGAAAAAACTTTCCTACAAAACAAAACAAAACAAAAAAACACACAAACTTTAAATCTAGCACACAACCAACCAGATAGTTTCTGAAAATGGTATCAAAATACACGCAAGAGGAAAAAAAAATAACTTATCTACACAACCTCTCTTTCCATTCAAAAAAATTTAGATATTTGAAATTAAGAGATAGTCTTAAAAGTGTGATTCTTAAAGTATTCTTTATTAAGATCATTAAAAGTTGTAGAAACAACTTTATATTATAAAGGCACAGGGAGACAGTTCTGATAAAATATTCAAATTAAACAGTAACTTACAGTACAAAAGACAATTTTAATGCACATACAAACCCCAAATGTCTGATTCAAAAATATTTTACTGTGTCTATTAATGGGCAATGATTAAAAATATAAATTGCTGCTGTATAATAAATATCTGATAGTGAATATCTTGATAGCAAAGTGAACAAAATATTTATTGCTTTTCACATACATATTTTTCCCTGTAATTTAAAATTCCTAATTCTTTTACTATCTTCTCAACTTTTTCCAAAGATAAAAGAAATTCCACATAATCTCACAGGGGAAATGGTAGTTGTAACAACTACCTCCAGTAGCAATCACTGCTTGCAGTGTTTTCTCACTTCCTGGTCTGCAATCACAATCACTTTTCCAAAGTAAGATAGATGTTTGCTAAGCCACATAAAGACAACCCTCTGTGACTGGCATTCTAAAGTTTGTAATGAACACTTATCAAATATAAAAGGTGCTGTTTTGAAAATGTGTATTTAATTTGAAGTTCTAAGGGGTGAATGTTCGACAAATAATTTTACCTACACCCCTCAAAAGTTTTCCGAAGTTGTAAAAAGCTTAATACAATTTCTAGCACTTAAATGTTTCTTTGAGGGCTAGTTGATATCTGTAATATATGGATGTATAAAAATTAACATAATGCAATCTATTTTATAATGGAGAGACCTTACCCTTCTCCTCCCAGTTTTTATACTGGGGTTAACATTATTGATTTCATCATGCTTTTTTGTAGCAACCCAGTTATAGATGGTACAAGGAGAATTTCTATCACAACAGTAAAATAACATGAATGTACCATCCCAACTCAATGCTATCTCAACTTAATACCTACATTAAAGTATTCAATAATCATTGTAAAGTTACTTAACCATATGTCACGTTTAGACAGTGTGTAGCAGCTAGTAATGTGCCTGGCACAGAGTTGATGCTCAATAAATAGTTGCTGAATGAAAGAAAAAGAAAAGAAAAACCTGGCTTTGGTTGTGCATATTTTAATCACTTTCTGATTTAGAATAAGGTCAGTCTAGAACTAAATACTGTGCACTCCACCAAACTTTGCCGTATGCTAAAGCGATAATTAAAAAAAAAAAGTATCACCTATGTTAGTGATAGTCAATTTAAATATTGTAACTTTTAAAAATAGCCCACAAATTTCACACGTTTGTTAATTTTTATCCACATACTTAAATTTGATGTTTTGATGCTTGACAATGGGGTTATGAAGACCAAGTTGGGCAGACTGGCTAAACTATGCTTTTCAATAAAAATTACTAGTCCATCAATAAATAAAAAGTTATGATGCCCAATTAAACTCAAATGATGACTACACCATGTTAATTTTAACTCCAAAACTACCAAAGAATATAAGGTAGGATATCTTTAAGTCACATATGCCTGGAAGCAGCTTACCTTTGCAACATAAAATAACCAGGAAGATCTGAACGTAATAATGACAGAGTTAGAGTACTGGAAGTGTGGTAATAAGAATACGTAGGTGACCAATTTTGAAATCTAACCATGACACCAGATCTAACATTTCTTTGGCATATGCATTACTATCTTGGACTAGTTAGCATTTAAAAAATACTGTGTTTTTTTTTTTTCCTCAATCAACATTAACATAAAGGTGTAGAATGCTTGTATACTCTTCTTAAAGCCTTTAAAAAGGACAAGATGACATTCTGCAACATATGCCAAATTTTGTGTTTAGTGTACACTTATAATTATAGGCAGAGACGGATGTAACTGTTAAATAACTTTGAATGATTTCATGCAATGGTGAAACCACAGAAAGTGGGGAGAAAAGTATTTACATGATAAAATATTCAGCTCTCTGAAAATACAGTAAACCTGGGAACCTTGCCCTAACAGTAAATGTGTACCGCATAGCACTGAACAAAAACTAGTTCAAATTTAAATAAACACCTAGAATAACCTGAATGTGTAAAATTTAATTAAAAAAACATAAAAATGAGTGGAAAAAAACACCTATACATCAGAAGGAAAAAATGGCCTATAAAACAGGCCAATCTAACTTGACATTCAAAGTAAATGCAAGAGATTCACAAAATCATGATAGTAATGCAAACTAAGTCAAATACCAAGTACCCTTTGATACACAAGCCAATGTAACTATCAGACTCATTTCCAATAGCTTCACAATATTCATAAATTCACTCAGGCATTCGGGGGAGCAAAGCAGTCAATGATGATAGCTCAAGTCTCCAAAGTGTAAGAACAAACTTATTTGCAGAAGCGTCACAAGATTTTTGAAGTAATGTCTTATTTTGATGTTAACATAAGATTTATCAGTGCAAGTTATCTTCTGAATGTATTCCTTCCAAATTTCATTTTTCCAGATAGTTTTTGGTGGTTTAGTTTTAGCCAGTGCTATTTAAATGGAGAAAAGAAAAATTCACCATAGACTACCTCACATTGTTACTTAATTGTGCTAGGTATTCACGCAGTTCTTTTGCAGCCTGGAATCTGCCATAGCGCTTCTTTGGGTTGGCACACTCGTCCAGCAAGGCCTCTAGTCGGCCGTCTTTGGCAATTTCACTTGGTGGGTCATGAAGAAGTCCTCCAGAAGTGCCACGCCAGGTGGCATGTCTGGATAAGAGGTTCTGACAAACAGCATAGTAATTGTGGTCCACAGTCGCACGAGCACAAAGAATTTCTTTTGAAAATGATAAGCAAGCCTCCTTATCACAGTCATCAAATTTGCTTTCATACCATACATCCCAATTTTCAGGTTTATCTGTAAAAAGGGGGGAAGCAGAAAGAGAAAAATACATTTTAAAAGAGTTCTCATTCCTTCCCAAAATATAACATTTTACTAATTAACACAGTAGTATTGGTTCCTAAAACTGTATTATAATTTTAAACATTGAAATTTATTAATTTATATATAAAAAAATATATACCAATGCCAGGCCGAAAGATCAGACAAGGTCTCTAACTACTCAAGGGTTCGGTCTAGATGGAAACTTTCCAACACACAGAGAAAGTGCCATATAGAAGACTCAATGCTACAACAGTACAGAGGAAGCAGCACTTCTTCCTGGGGCTGTAGAAAGCTGCATACAATTTCTGATTTAGGTCTTAAGTAATAAGCAAGTGTAAAAAGAAATGTGGGAAAATAGTATGCTAGGCCCAGTACAAGTATGTGCAAAGGCATGGACTTAAGGGCTTGTTCCAGCTGATTCAGGATCCAATAAGTTCATGGAGGCTAAAGTGTGAGACAGCTACCTGGGGAGAAGGTACAAATGAGGCTGGAGAAATAGGTTGAACTTGTGTGGTCAGAAACATGATTTGTTTTATAGAAAGTTAACTGGACTGAAGACTGGAGGGACTAAGATGATGATAGTAACTAATGGTCCAGAAAAAAAAGCCAAAATGTAGAAACACAGGAGTTGAGTTTTGAGTAAAGTTTAAGGTTCTAATTGGATGACAAGGTAGATATTATTTACATAATACTGTTAACATTTCATAAATAAATTTAAAGTAAATATAAAGTAACTACAAGGTATTCAGGTGGGCATATCACATGCAACTAGAAACACACTTGAAACTTAGGACTTTGAAGTCAGAGGTACAGTACACATATTTAGAACACGTCAATATACAAGTGCTTGATGGAACCAAGAGAAGAGCTGAATTATATTGGAAAGCATGTTGAAAGCAAAGGAAAGAAACAAAGACAGGATGGAACCTTGCAACTCAAGGGGTTGGTAGAGGAGTGGTTAGTCAAAAAAGCTCATTCATTCAGCAAATAATTATTTGAATGCCTACTCTAGGACAGGCAAGGGTATATACTGGTAAACAAAATAAATAATAGATGGTTCCTGCCCTCACTGGCTTACTATCAAGTATGAGAAATAGACATTAAATAAATAAACATTAACATAAATAGTGGGAAATGCTACAAAGGAAACAAACGTTTTTAACAGTAGAAAGGTTTATGAAAGAAACAACCTCCCCTAGCATTAGATATAGTGGTCAAGTGTAACATTTAAGTTACCGTTCAAAGGACAAGTAGCTAGCTGTGTATAGAAGAGAGATGAGGCATTTTAGGCAGAAGAAAAAGCATATGGAAAAGCCCAGAAGAAAAAAGGTTCATTCAAGAAACAAAAGGACACTGTAGCTGAAGCATCAAGGGCAGTAGACAGAGGGATATTAAAATTGAAGCAGATTGGGCTCTGATTAAGGTTTTTTCCTTTCTTTCTCTTTAATGTTTCTTTTGTACACAGAGAACATTACTCAGTCTACTTTTGCTTGAAACATTCACATTCAAATATGTTACAAAATTGGGGCGCCTGGGTGGCTCAGTAGGTTAAGTGTCTACCTTCGGCTCAGGTCATGATCCCAGGGTCCTGGGATCGAGCCCCACATCAGGTTCCTTGCTCAGTGGGAAGCCTGCTTCTCCCTCTCCCACTCCCCCTGCTTGTGTTCCCTCTCTCTGTGTCTCTGTCAAATAAATAAAATCTTGAAAAAAAAGTTTTAAAATTTTAAAAAATTGGTTCACCAAAGCTTTTTTTTAAATTGAAGTATAATTAACATACATTGTTAGTTTCAGATACACAACATATTGATTTGACAATTCTATACATTATTCAATGCTCACCATGATATGTGGTCACCAACTGTCACCATACATTATTACATTATTGACTATACTCCCCATGCTATACTTTTCATCTTTCCAATTTATTTAATAACTGTAAGTTGTTATATAACTATAATAACTGTAAAAATAACTGTATCTCTTAATCCCCTTTATCTATTTTGCCCATCTCCCCTCTGGCAACCCATCAATTTGTTCTCTGTATTTAAGAGTCTGGCTTTTGTTTGTTTTTTCCTTTCTTTTTTTTATATTCCACATAAGTGAAATCATGGTATTTGTCTTTTTGTTCCTGACTTACTTCATTTAGCATAATCCCTTCTAGGTCCACCCGTGTTGTTGCAAATGGCAAGAGCTCATCCTTTTTTACGGCTGAACTTCCACTGTGTATATGTATATTAAATATATACACACACATATACACACCACTTCCTCTTTTAGCCATTCACCTTGTGTTGCTTCCATATCTTGGCTATTGTAAATAATGCTACAGCAAACATAGGGGTGCATATATCTTTTCAAATTAATGGTTTTGTTTTTATACACAATAGTGGAATTACTAGATCATACGGTAGTTCTAATTTTATAATTTTTTGAGGAACCTCCATACTATTTTCCACAGTGGCTGCACCAATTCACATTCCCACCAGCTGTGCATGATGGTACCCTTTTCTCCACATCCTTGGCAACACCTGTTACTTGTCTTTTTGATACTAGCCATTCTGACTCGTGTGAAGTATTACCTCACTCTGGTTTTGATCTCCATTTCCCTGATGATTAATGATGCTGAACATCTTTTCATGTGCCTGTTGGCCATTTGTATGTCTTCTTTGGATAAATGTTTCTTCAGGTTCTCTGCTCATTTCTAATAAGATTGATTGTTTTTGTGGTATTGATATTATGTAAACAAGAGTTTGAATTTTACTTAAAGAATAATGGGAACTCATTAAAAACTTTAAGCAAGGAAGTGATAAGATCAGATTTATGTTTTAAGAAAGAAACTAAGTGAATAGAAGAAAACCAAAGGATGAAAGAATTTCAGGAAGTTGTTACTAATCAGTCACTTCATAAATTTTGCAATTAGGTGGTTGCTAATGGTAATGCAGAAATCTCAGTCAGGTTCTAATGGGTGAAGGAATGAATGGAGGCTGAGGGAGTAGAAAAAGGCAGAATAAGCAATACTTCTAACAACAGCTGAAAAGCATGGGAAAGCAGAAAAGGTCTTAGGACATACTTGTTTATGGGGAGGGAAGAGAAACTGGATTCTAAGGAGGGAGTGGGAAGTTGGAGATAACTAATGCAACAAGTTCTCAGAGAAGGATCTACTCTGTCCGAAATAGAAAGATGAATGTGTATTGTTTTTACTAGTTTAGATAATAAAGGGAAGGACACTGAGGAAGTTGCCACAGCAAAACCTGTTTCTCTGTGAAGGAGAAAATAAAGATCATTTACTAGGAAGAGTTCAGAATAGAGTGTGAATAAATAAAAATGGTGTTTTGCAAAGTAGATATTTAACCAACCCTACCATGAGACATTTGAAAAGAACTGGTCACAGCTAAAGTATCACTGGGGCAATGCTCACTGTATGAATATACTTGTGTGGTGGTATTCATCCAAGATTAGGAATTAGTTGGTATATAAAACTGTGACATGAATTCCAAGAATGTCTGCATAAAAAAATTATAAGAAATTTTAAAAGTTTAGGCAAGTTGCACAACTTTGTGAGTATACTAAAAACCACTGAACTGTACACTTTAAAAAAGAAAAGGATGGTGTAAGCTGCTGCAACATTAACAAATGTAGGAAGAAATAAGTGGAGTGCACTCCAGCAGGGTGTCCATTCCCTGTGGGAGGATCTACGTGGCAAGTCAAGAAATAAGAAAGTAGTTTGGTGAGTATGGAATCAGAACAAGTACTGGGAAAAATCAAGGATCAAGATAAGATCATGCAAAACCTAAGTGTCAACGTAATAAATTGTTGTTACTTTCACTGCATTCCCCAGGTGCCACACATTTTTGGTCCAAGTTCATCAAAAGATCCTCATATGACAGGAGAAGAGGGGATTAAAAATGTAAGACCGTCACCATAGAACAACCACCTTTCAGTTTCTTTTATTAAGTAGATTAGTTATAGAGTTGCAGGCTTTGTCCCTGACATTTTAAAATTCCTGTGGCGTTTAATTTTCAAAACACTTCAGACAGTCTGTCCACTTACCCCTATGACAAGCTCACAAATAAATGGAGAGCAAAATTTTGGATAAAATGTAATAATGTCAAATCAAAGTTAGGGATCTGCAGTGCTAGAAATCATCTAAATGGTTAAAACAAAATGAAAATCACCATAGGGACCCCAAAGAACACAGAACATCACTGTATAAGTGATCCCACAGAAAAATAAGACCTCCATGAGAGCACAACAGTTTCTCTGATAGGCTGTAACTACATAAAAACTTAATTCTACATTACACTCCTAAACCACAGAATGTAGCAGACTGTAATAAAAAGACATGTGTACATACACACACACACACACACACACAGACACACAGTATATCTGTGTCCGTTTGAATCCAAAGGATATTTTACTAAATATGGAGAAACTGTGATTAAGAGTACAAGTATAACAAACTGGCTTGCGTTTACTGATACTGGTCAAATAAAACAAAGAGGCAACGCTTCCATCTAAGAAGGAAATTAAGGGTTTGTTTCATATAAATGTAAACTTTGACATTAAAAAAAATGTGTACAAGAAGCAAATGTAAGTTATATACTTACTTTGTCTAATTAACCTTTTGTCAGCAACCAAAACATTTTCAGCATCCACAATGATTACCTTCCCATCTCTAGGACCAACTGCAAAATTGTCAAAACTGACGTCCAGGAGGTAGAGTGCAAATTCAAAGTCATTGTTTGTAAGCTGCTCTGCTATTTCCATTAACTGCCAAGCGAGGTCAACTCGTTTCTCCCATGGTGCATTAAAGTAACTCCACAGTTCTTCTCCAACATAACTTACAGCCACCATTCTTCCACAAGCTCCAAGATATTTTGCAAATGGCCAACCTTCATCAGATGGAAAACTCTACAAAAGAATTATCTTAATATTATAAGAGATTCTGATGAAAATATTCTATGTCTACCCCCAGATCCTCTCAGCAGAGATTATTACTAGGCATGCGCTTGGATTTCTTGTTATATTCAGGAGTTGGAGAGAGATAAATGTGATTTCTTTTCTAATTCATACCATTACTATGGACCTGAAAAAAAATTTAAATTTGTAACTTTACATTATAAAGCTAAAACAGAATAAATCCTGCTTATAAATTTCAGAACCAAACTGATCAACAAACATAAGACACCTTCCTTATTACCAAATCTGGAAGTATTTACATTTTCCTGTATCTTTTTGACTTGGTGTAAGTACAGTCAACCATCTTTTCTTTTGAATGAACAGCATTGCAAGCCTATTAGCCAGCAAGTATTTACCAGGCAACCATGCACTGTACTTGTTGGCAATTAAAGTGAACTAAACAGTCTCTAAAATAAAAATTTTAGAAGAGAAGACAGATATTAAGCAAATAATTTTGTGTATAAATGTTAGTTACTAGGAAGTGGTGTGGGTCCTAAGAGAGCATTTAATAGAGACCCTACCTAGTCTACAAGCAGGTGGGGATACAACTTAGAGAGGGATTTATATAAGTGTTTCTTAACCTACACCCAAAGGTTAGTAAAGAACCATCTGATATCCTATTGATGCAACCTGCACTCTAAGTACCTCTGGTCCCAAGTCAGTCTTGTTTCCCTTTCTACTGCCACTGTATTTCTGTTCACCTTTAGCTCAACCTTAAAATTATTTATTCTCCTAATCTTAGCAAGGTTTCCTTATGGATTTTATAACCACTGGGAAAATTAACATCCTAAAACAAAAGTCTTTCATGCTGATAAACATCTCACTTTAAACTTAAATGTCAGGCTTTATCTAAGATACTTTCCAGTGCTAAAATGAGCATTGTGGTGCAAAAGGATGGGAAGTAATGTTTTAACTTCTTGGAAGATAACATGACCAGAGGAAGTATAGAGGAAGCCTAGCACTTTTCCTTAAAATGGGGGGAAAAATTATAAGATGATATTCACATAAACACTGTAGGGGAAACAGAGCAAAACACTGCAGAATATAAATACAGATTACTTCTACTGCTAAAATTGAACAATCTACATACACTTTTTTTTTTAAGATTTTATTTGAGAGCGAGCGAAAGAGAGATCACAGAGGGAGAGGGAAAAGCAGACTTGCCGCTGAGCGGAGAGCCCGAGGCAGGGCTCATCCCAGAACCCTGGGATCATGATCTGAGCCAAAGGTAGACGCCTAACCAACTGAGCCACCCAGGCACCCCAATCTACACACATTTAAAGAGCTAGAGATGAGGCTCTTTTTCTTGGACTGCTTATGAAAATAAGTAATATTAAGTTTACCCTGAACTTTCATAAAATTGAAAAAATTCAGTAATATCCTTAATATTAATATGTTTATCAACTTTAAAACAAAATGTTCTTAGAACTAAACTTGATCCATAATCACCTATTTTCATTTGTGCTTCCTTTCAACTATAATTATTAATGCACAGAAACTGTACTTGTTTCTTTGTATGTGTAACTTTCTTTTAAATTTTAATATCTGCAGTTTTGTGATAAAACACTAATTATGTAAATTAAAAATTTAGATGTAATAGTATGAATCTTTAAATATAGTAAATGAATTGACTCATTTTTAATTCAAATGCAACATGTGATTCTTTAGCAAGAAGGAAGAGGGAAGCACATTTTTCATCTTATACCTGAGAATATTTTATTTCTTTTGGGTACTGGGAAAAGTGAGACAGCTCATGTCCAATGTGAAGTGCAAAAAAATGTTTGCGAACCATCTTATTTTCAACTTTTTCTCCCAATTTTAAAATACCTCCTCAACCTTGAAAATTTACACAAATAATTACAAAAGATTTAACTGTTTCCCAGAAGTATTCATGTATAAAGTCTATGACATTAAAAGAAAAAAAGGGAAAGCATTAAAAATTGGTAATATATGAGATTATATAGTTTTGTCCCACAAAAAGTAAAACAAAAAATTCCTCCATACATTATTGTTATATTATTCACATGCCATACTGTAGAACAGATACAAACATATCTTTGTGAAAATAAAATGGTCTTTGACAACAGGAGAAAAGGGAACCCTGCCAACATCTGCACATGTACAAATGCCTCCTTGTTTTTTGGAGCCTTTCCAACTGGCAAATGACAGTCAAATATACCCTTCATTACCCAAGTCCCTCATAAAAGAGGATAAAATATATGAACAAATGTCACACTGAGCAATTTTATATTCATACAGTGATTTCTGACAATGTTAACTGAAATCCTGTTATGCCTCATTTTAAGAAGAGCACTACAATTCTTTCATATAGCTTGCTACCTAATCTTTTGCAAGAACTTTAATAAATGAATCCATACCACTAGCTCAGATGACAGGAATTTTTAATAGTCAGATTTCCTTAATGAGAAAACAATTCTATTGAACACACTACAGCACAAAGAAAATGCCCAAAGGAAGCCAAAACATAATTTTTATTTAAAACAATTCTGGCTTAGAACCAAATTATCATGGTCAAGCAGAGTTTGAAAGACAAAATTTTAAGATGTTACAGCGTGGATTTGCTAAATATATCAAGCAATGAGAAACACATCTTCTTACTTTCTGATTACCAAACTCCAACAGGGCAAAAACAAACAAACAAACAAAAAAACAAAAACAAAAACAAAAAATCCCACAGTAGCTAGGATAAGAAGTTTACTGCTGAGATTCACAGTTTTTATTTTAAAACAAATCTTAAGATCAGATTTTCAAATTTCCTAGAACAACAGGCACACAGTTTAAAGTACCTGGACATAAAATGTGTGTATTTTAATGAGTTATTTACAATTGAAAAAATATGTACAAATACTTTTCATTTGAAGGATGGAGTCTTTAAATGTGGAATGGTTTAAATTCTAACTTGACCGGAGGCACTGCAATTATTTGTTAAGGGTTTTACATCACGTTGAATATACATTGAAGTATAACCGGTCAAATTTTAAAACTAAATTATTAGTTTAAAATTGTACAAAGGTACAAAACAGTTATAAAATTATGTATTTCCTTTCCATTACTGTATTAAAAAAAAATTACATTGGTAAGCACCCAAAGAAAACTTCTATGACTATTCCTAATAATGTAAAAATTAAATATGGAAATTTAAGTATTAAGATAAACATGGTTAACTGATAAGATTTTTAAAAATATTAAATGCCTTCAGTTAATTTAAAAAATAAAAAGTATTTTGAATATGAAACCTAAGATAAATCACTATGTCTCTTTATCTCTCTCTTTTTTGGTAACAGAAAATTGCAAGCTATCTCTTGGATACCATAAAACTCAAATACTACTACTAATAATATTACAGGCATTGACAGTATCTTAAAGTCAAAGTTTCAGAAATAAGTAAACAAAATCACTAAGGTCATCTTTCATTTTAAGAGAAAATGAAATGAAGGTGACATAAAATGTATACACTTGATATTAAAGATTAGAAAATTTAGATATTTTATATTTTTATGGTATATAACATTTTATAAAATTTGTATATTTAAAAGACAATAGAATATACAAGTAAATAATGGACTTGAAATCACTCTGCATCTCATGAGCTGACTATGGCAAAGCGAAAACTTAGAGCTTTAGTCTTTTTCTCTGTAAAACTGGAATAATACTTGTACCACCATATATATTCATCAAGACAATCCAAGAACCAAAGAGTATGAAATGTACTTTGCAGATTTATACTACTTTATAAAGAATTGCTTACCAAAACATTTTTTACTTCCTATTTAAATCCATTAAGAAGTCCAGATATTCATCAAGAGTTATGCTTATTTTCATAACACTGACTGAAAGTCATCTACAAATAATGAACATCTTCCAAATATAGTCAAGAACCACCAAATTAGAAAAGCATCATCACTGTCCTCTAGTAGTTTCTAATTTACAGTGAAATATATAAATTAGCAACCAAACTTTGGTTTAACTTTTGAGAAGGCTTAATGCTATGAAAAATGTATAGGGCATCCGCAAGCACTAAAAATACAAAAAAAATTAAAACTTGATAACATGTATACACATAAACTCAGCATTGTAATTTGCTTTTCATTTATAATAGTTAAGCACCACAAAATCCTAAGTGCTGAAGTAATCTATCATCTATCTTGATCAAAACCAACCAACACGATAGTTTATGTGATTTATAACGGGGATGTGAAATCTAAGAATTCTAGAGTTGGAACTACATGAGTTGTAAATCCAGTTCAATCTTACTAGCGCAGTTTAAGTGATCTGCCTAAAGTCACACAGATAAAAGCGGTAAAGTCTGGCTAGTACAACCCCTCAATCCAACATCTTCCTGTTTCAGAAGTTTCCAAGTTTTGCATATATTGCATTCTCATATTACGGAGAATCTGAGACATAGTATGCTGTGAAAATAATGTAAGCTTATACATCCTAAGTGGAATAAAGCACATAAATCTCATGTTTTCATATTTTTTTAAATTTGACAAACCCTATTTTCTACAGGTTTTTAAATTTGGAATTGCAGGTAAGAGACTGTAGGTTAACCCACATTTCACTGACTACTGTAAGCAGCTGGAGTTAGAGAGTGAGCGAGTCACTGTGGAATGAAGAGAAAACAAATTTTATATTAAAAAATTCTAGATCTAGCCTAACACCATCATGAAATGCTAAGTAAATAGTTGTGAAAAAAAACAGTCCCTATTCTCAGGAAGTTTTTTCAACCTGAGTTGGGAGAATGATTATTAAATAGACATAAATTATAACTTACATAATTTGTTACAAATTATGAAGTAGAGTATGCTGAGAAAGAGAGATTGTGTGGTAAAGGGCAGCCTCTCTAAGGAAGTGTTACTTAGGCTGAGATCAAAAAGATGAGTATAATATTAGACAGACTGGGGAGGGGGCAGTAAAAATGTTCCAGGCCA